GCGGCGCCTGGCGGACATACAGATCGAACTAGGGGTGAGGCATAAGTGGAAGAGGGATAGCTGGAGGAGAGACTATACACACGCTCAGCGGAGGAGGAAGGGCGAAGAAGAAGGCATACCAGAATTATTTAAACACACCTTTTTTTCCCTTCCACCATCTCGACTCATCTCGCAACAGCGGCAACATCCTCAATGCACAAACTCCAATACGAAGTCATCCTCAACAGGACTCCCGGAAATTCTAACAGAAGGACGTCATTAGGAGGATTCGGTATTTAAGCAGAAGTATTGTCGAACTCTTTATTTACTCTCAGTCTTGAGCTCCTTGTAAATCAGTAAGCATCGATACTCGCGAATATTCACTTGTCTTCCTCCTTGTTACGTTCGAGGTGAATGTCAATATCTTATCGACGAAGTTCGGGTGATTAGATGTCAAAAGAAAGCGATAGATTCCTGAGTGTCTAGGAGCTTGTATGCACAAGAGATCGAAACTGGGCTTGATTGTGGCAACTTAATAGATAAGACAAGATAGGAATGACGTATGTAGTGGTGACGTCATACACGTTGAAGACGCTGCTCTAGAGAAAAGAAAGGGTGTGAAGCGTAACACTTCTCCTCTCTCTCTCTATCCTGTCTCTGTGTATAGAATAGCTGTTTCAGCATCAGACCTCTCCATCAGAACTCCCAATCTTCGTCGCCAAGATCACGCATATCGTTATAGTAAGGCTGTTTTGGAATCACGAAGAAACAGTTCCTAGAATTCGTTGCTCTCTAAAGCTCTTCATGTCATACCACCCTCTCTACTCTACTCAACACTAGATCCCGTCAATAATGAATTATAAACTCCTTGGCTTGTCCTCTGAGCGAGCCTTCCCACTCTGTCTTAGGGACTCTTGGATTTATCATTTGTACTTGATTGGGACCTGGTGCAAGGTGTTCTGGGTGCCTAAATGAGGGAGGAGGCTGTCAGTATCACTCAGAAACATTCTAACTATAGGTTCATACCTTCCCTGTTGTCGGCGTTGTCTGGCGCTTGTTTGGGTATCGAGGGGAGCCTCCGCGGATGAAACTTGGCGAAACCTGGCGGAATATCTATGGAGTGGGTCCATGTAGGATAGGTTGAACGCCGAGGCAGATTGGTGAATTAGAACTCACCTAATTGAAGTGACGCACTGGCACCGGTCATATATCTCCCTGCGGCCTTGGGATGAAGGTGGGGGACGGGAGTGCTCTTTCTCACGAATTAGCACATATGACCGGGTAGTGGAACAAAAGAAGAATGGGTAAAATGTTGGGGTATAGATAGGTGAGCATGATTGTGGAAGTTAGAGAAGAAAAAAGTGATAAAGTGCTCACGCGCTGGGCAAGGGAAAATCTGTGGGGGACCAAGGTCATCGTAAGTGGTTTGGGAAAAAGGTGAGTCATCTCCTCTCCCGTATCAACTAAAGGCGAATGCACTCACCGATTCCCCTCTGAAATCCCCTGTACGTGGGGGTTAGGAATGTTTCGATCACATTTGGTGGGACAGGATCGTCTAGATGGAATGTAGAGAATGTCAGTCCAAAGCACAGGCTATGTGGAGATGGTCTGTTACGACTCGAGTTCGAGACGGGTGACGATGCTTCTTTAGGAGGTTGAGATTTCGGTATCACCATTTTTGGTGTTGCAGGAATCAAATAGTTGTTGCAGATTGAAGTCAAAGTCCGTGTCGTCAATCCGTCGGTATCCTGACAAGGTCTCCAGGCGATAGTAAGCCACCGAAGTAGTGATCGAAGAGTATGCCACAATCCACGAGGAGGTTATTTCAGTTCCGCCACAGGTGCTACTAGAGCGTAAAGCGATACGCCTGCAGGAGAAATGTTCACTCACTGGGCAGAGTTTAAGTAGTGTACCATCCTCAGTTGGCACCCTGAATGGGGTTCAAAGTGGAGTCGGTTCCAGTCAAGACGTTATTAGATGTCGAAGGAAGGACGAGGCACGCAATAATAGGAAAGGGTGAGACAAAGTCTGGATTTTTATTTTCAAGCCCAAGAATGTCGTCCTTATATACATGGACGAGTCCAAATTAACAAGTGATGAGTATAAAGGAATGGAAAATGGAGGAGAGAATGTATGAGTGGCATAGAGAGACAAGGAGAATGGGTGATATGAAAGGGTGAGATGAGTGGCGAGATATGAAAGAACAAAGAAAATGGTGGCATGAGATAATGGGGTGGCGAGAGGAGATCGATCAGAACAAAGGGCGAGGGGTTATAAAGATGTTCCTAGGAGAGGGTGGCGCAGCGGGTGTCTAGATTAGACACGAGACAAAGCAGAGAAAGAGGCCCACAAAGGGTTGAGACTGGCAAGTGGCGTCCGAAGGATGGGGGGGTGGGGGATCTCCCAAACCGTTCGAGGCATCCTTGAGGTTTGGCACTCAGAACCAAAAGCTTTCGTTTTTGGTTCAGTTCAAGATTTTGGGTTGGATGAGTTGATGCAAGGGCCCCGGCGCGGCCTGTCCCAACATGAAGTGCAAATACTTCTAGACGACGAAGTTTGTTCACCCAGAAAAAAAAGACAACGAGGTAGTATCTTTGTTCTTTTTATTTTTATTTTTGGTTCATGCTGGGGCGGGCGAGTTGAAGGCAAAAATTGGCTGATATTATACGGATGAAGATCGCCGGGAAGGGCGATGTCGACGTCGACGCTGGAAAACGTTTCTTCAATTCATCCTATGATGAAGTAAAGTCAGCCGACGAACATTCATTGTCTCTTGGTCGCTGATGAGTGGGCCTTGTCCATGTAAGTTTTCACGAAGGAATCATCATGAGGGCCAAACCTGCCCGAGGCACTCAATTATCAGTTATTCTATCTTCCTCCAGAGGTGTGATGAGATCATCGAAGCTAACTGAAAGTTTCATGTTTGGCGGCCCGATTAGATGGTTCTTCGGGGAGAATACATGGAATTAGTACGACGCAATTCAATTCTGCAAACAGAGTCCAGGGCGGCCGCCTTGGACCTTCGAGTGGGTCTATGCATCATAACCTTGATCCATTGTCACGTATTCACGGAATCCCCTCACCAGCTTCTCCTGGTGCTCCTCGACAAGTGGCGCTGTATCCAGCCTAGGGTCGATTCCTGTGGCGCAACATCATCTGCAATCACATGGGTTCACGATACAAGTAGAGGTCAGTCAATCATCTGGTAATCCGATTCAATATCTTCCAAATCCTTCTCGGTGACGGTCAAAATGGCATAGACAAAACTATGAAGCTTCCATCCTGTCGCAGTCGCGCAGCTCGATATCAAGAGGTGGAAACCATTTTTGGGATGAGAGGATAAGGATATAAATGAGAAAGAGCGGGAAAATCGACCTCGAGATTAAGAGCTACGAAGACACAACTTCATCCACCATAGACATCTCTCCACTTGTCGAGGTAACTCTTGATCGTGAGAAGAAGTGAATTTGCGGCATTGCCTTTGAAAGGTGAAAGGTTTTTGGATAGTTGCGTACTTTGAATTGACGGACTGGCACCTGGAGGGAGGTGGGTACTCTCTTGCATTGGGGTGGAATCAGTAGAGGCGGGTGCATGTTAGAGATGTGTGAAAAGGGATTAGATGTAAGTTATATCAAAGATGCTCACTGAGACGACGAGCATCGCAGAACGACCTTTGGTCACAGCACTTGCCAAGAAACAGGACGAGCCAGAGATGCGCTTTGAAGAGATCCTGGATCAACGTCTTTGACAGTGGGGCTTCTCTGTTGTACTTTTGATCTTACTAATTACAATCGCTAATAATTGTCTAGAGAAGGGGGAGTGTGATAGAATCGAGTTGACTCGTATACACCAATGGCTCCGCAAAAAGACTGGTCACAGAATTCAACTATAGGGCTGCGAGATAACATGGAAAAGAAAGTAATTATCATAACTTTATATCCGTGCCCAACTACCCAATCACATTTTTCCGCCCAATTACAATCACGGCAAGCATAAATCTGGCCCTGTTTCCTTTCCTCATCATTGATCTTCCGAATTCTGCGATGATTCATCCTCCGTGTTTTGCAATGATTCATCCTCCGTGTACTGCAAAATTCACTCAAATAGTACCCCATACCACATCTCAGTCCATTTGAAAAAACACTCACAAAAACCGTCGTATATTCTTCCCCAGGGAGACGACGTTGCAAGTCAGGGTCTGGGCAGGTCACGAATCTGGCATCTACTCCAAGCGGCGACAGCTGTGGATGATCCAACACCCTTTGAAGAATTGATTTGTCTATATCTTTTTCCTCGAACTGGAACGTGTGCACTGCGATACGGCGTCGTGTCGGTATCAAAATGCGAAGGCCTCCCACAGTCGGTGAGATTAATCGAGGGTACTTGACTTCCAAAAGGCATGGAATGGGGAGTTTGGGTTGTCGTTCGACCCAGAGTCTGACTTCAGAGTGAAGCATTACAAGGTCGCCACCGGGATCATAGCGCAGATTTTGAGAGTGGGCAAACTTCCTAAGCTGATCGGGAGAGAGTAGATAGCCACAGATTATGTACACACGAACCATATTCTGAGAAGGAGCGGTCGAGGGGTGCTAATGGAAGGAGGGGCGAGGCGCTGATTCGCGCTTCAGCGCTTCAATTGTGCTGCGATGACGTCACCAATACCATTCCGGGCCATTCTTTAGTTAATCCTTTTCCTCCAAGTGAGGTTTTACCCTTCGCTACTTTCCTCACAAGTAGTTACCACTGTCCACTCAATAGCTACTCTGTACCGTAGTAGCCGCGCAATTTGGGACACACCCTGAAGCGCGAATAAATTCGATTTCAGAAAAAAAAAAAAATACCATTCCGGATTCTCTATTATAATCATAATATTTATCTGCTATATGGACCCCTGCTGAACCTCAATTTTACAATCAATTGTTTTTTGAGAAGTGCTTGAAGCCTAGTCATGGTACATTTGACATGGGTGAACCGGCTGTGCCTAAGCACACAGCACACAGAAAACCACCTTGAAAGCCTGAGGCTGTGTAGCTAAGTGGTTAGAGCACCAGTCCTAGAATGTACGGGGGTCTTGGGTTCAATGCCCAACATGGCCACACTTTTCCTGTGACTGAAGTTCCTCAATTGGGGCCATGCTGCGTAAGTTCAGCCTTGCTCCTGCCAGGCAATGACTTGCAGCTCATCTATGATTGTGCTACTGCTATTGTTTGCAGCATATACACTGTCTTGGGTCATCCCTTTATGGGCCAATAAACAAAATAATAAATTTGCAATTGCCTCCAGACCATATGGTCAAACCCCAGGGCCTCATTCAGGACAGTGATGGGCACAGTGATGATAGAGATTCATATGGTACCTTCAACAGAGACAGTACCAAGGCTTACCAAGACTTCATAATCTACAAATTCTCAGCAGATCACCACCAAGATATAATCAAGGCTATTATTGAAGTCAAAGGACCAGACAACATCAAATCAGCCATAGTACAGACATATGATTACATGGATAAGGCTGGGGCACAAGATGCCATTGGTATTGCTATCTCAGGCAATAATATTCGTGTTCTTGACCTTGATGGATCACGACCCTTGGGATACAGGATTTGGAGATGGCCTCGGTTCTTGATCAGCAAACCTTTCATTAATCTCATTTATCAGCTTACCCAATAGAAGTATCCCTCTTGTTCTCATACTGAGAAACAGGTATTGCACAGCTTGTACTAGATACTACTTTACTATTACTACTAGCTATCTATCTCACCTTGTTAGCTTAAAGGCTTAGATGCAGTCATTTATGTGATAGCTGCTTAATTTATAGCAGCTATACAGTAGTTTATATACAATTTAATGTACTATATCGGCTACTTAATTATACGAGTGCATTATGATGTGATTTGATCACATGCTCGATCTTAGATGTATATTCTAATTAATCTAACTAATTATGAACGCGTTTTCACTTGTGTTATCTACACGTGATCACAATCACGTCGTACCGCTATCCCGGAGCCTCTACCTTAGTTCAACACATACTGGTTATTGTTGTACTAGAATTAGATACCCCTCAATAAATATTTCTTTACCCCTGAAAATACACACTTTCCACCCTTCCACCCAAGTTGGAAGCTGGATACACACCTGGCTGGCTGAAGGAGGTCCATCTGACCCCATTTTTGTCTCAGAGAGCCGTCCTCCTCTCACATTTGATCAGTTAGGTTACACTGTATCCTCGCGAGCTCACTCGCCCTCCCACTTTATCAATGCCACTCTCCGGAGCATAATACCACTCTCGCCTCCCTCCTGCCTCCCCGGCCGAGGATACACTTGGAGCACTAGTCGCTCCTATCCGATATGGCCCGGCATCGATCTGCAGGGTCTTCACCTCCCTTCCCTCACAGACACCTCCGGGAAGACTGCCTACTACCACCCGTCAGCCAGGCTGAAACCTTTCCAACTCCGCTGTGGGGTATGGCCTGTACTACATGGCCCAAAATTTGGTCTTGAACAAAGACAGCGACCTAGGTGTCACTTCGGACCAGGCCACGATAGCCGCCACCATCGTTGCTGCCATGCTCGACTGCGGCATAGGCAAGCACGACGATCCAGAACTCCCCATTGTGGGACTTTCACCTGGCTCATGGCTCGCCTTGCCCACATGGTCTTATCAGAGGCTCGCTCTGCTCCACACCCTACTACCGAGGTCGAGCGCATCCACATGATGCTCGATCAACCTGCCTCACTATTCAACACACTTGGGGACTTCTTCAATGATGGGGCCCCGGAGACATTCTATAACACGCTCGTCAAAAACATGCGTGAGCTCATGGGCCAGGCTGCCAAGCAGCAAGGGGAGGCTGAGTTCACCACTGAAGAGAGGGGCGCTTACCAGGAGCAGGCTCGGAAAGAGGTACGTCAATCTCTGGAACACGAACTCTTCCTGGAGATTCCGCAGCTGCGTGAGCAGCTCCGGGAACAACTAACTGCACAGACCCGCCTCGAAATCTCTTTGGAGGTCTCGGCCTAGCGACATCGCTACAAGGGAGAACGCCTGAAGCAGGAAAAGGCGGAGATTGACGCCACAGCCCCCAAAGATGTTCGTCGTACTCTAGCGGACCCTGAGAAGACTCTCCGTCGACACAGGAAGGCCCATCACCCTTCCACTCCAACCTCACCCATCCGCTCCAGAGCCCACCCACTCGAGGGCCTCAAACTACAACCCCTACCCATCGCGCTCGGTCTCCCGCGCTCGCCCATCGCGGCCAGCCTCTCCGATTACCCCATCGCTCTTCCTCGAGGAAGTCCCGTCGTCTCAGCCAGACCAGGACATGCCCGACAGAGCTGTCACCCCTCCCGTCGCACCATTGGCAACTGACGTCCTTTTGTTGAACCAAGATACCGGTACAGAGGCTCCGGGATAGCGGTACTAGTGATGTGCACGGCTCGGCTCAAAGCCGTAAGCCGGCCGTTTCTGAGCCGGAAAAAGCCGGGCCGACATAGGCCGTGAAAACGGCTTCCAGCGGCCCACGGCTCAGGCTTAAGGTTTGGAAAGCCGGAAGCCGCGGCCTAAGCCGCGGCTTTTGGTGGCTGAGTCACACTTTCTATGAACCAGAATACCAGTACAGAGATACTCCAACATAATTGTGATTGCACTTAGATAAAACAATTAATGAGATAAAAATGCATCTTACATTAATGAAGATACTGAGTATATACATCTCAGATCAATCATGTGATTAAATCACATTGCAAGATAATGCGTTTAATTTAGTAGCTGATATAGTACATCTAAATAGGAATTCTGAAGGAAATGGGCATGGTGCAGACTTATATTTTAAATACTTTGTTAACTTAGAGACTTAGGTGCTTGTGATAATGCGATAGCAACTGCTTTATCTATAGCAGATTTAGTGGCTTTATATACAATTTAGATGTACTATATCAGTTACTAAATCAAACGCACACATTATCTTGCTTGTTAATGAAAGTGATTTAATCACATGATCGATCTGAGATGTATATACTCAGTATCTTCATTAATGTCCTGGATGCGCATTTTTTATGCAGCAAAGGACATTATAGATACACGTGGCCATTGTTTGAGTAATATTAATTGATAATCTGATTCTAGAGTAGTCTAAAGTAGTCTAGTATGTATTTTAGATAATGCCAGACAAGCAGAAACAATCGCACATTAGTAAATAAGATGTGTCAGGGTACTTATGAAAGTAAGCCACTGATAACTAATTGGATTTACATCGCATGCTCAATTGGCTTTGGTATTTCGTAGAATCGTACTAGGACCTATTTAAAGATGCCCTGTAGCACACTACAGACCCCATCTTGTCCTCTTGGGGCTGTAGGCTCTTAGCAATTGTTCAATATAGGTGTATTCTTGCTGGATTTTCACTCTTAGTTTCACCATGATCTCAACATCTTATCTTATCTACATAGCAAGCGCAGGATAGAAGCACCTGTTACAAACACTGTTATTGATACAAGCTAAACTAAGACAATTTATGTTACAGGAGTTAAATAGGAGACATAATATGGCAGAAGGCCAAAGCAGTGGCCAGGGGTTGATATAATGTAAACTACATGTCCTTCAAAAAATGCAGCTAAAGCTTGATTTGACGCTGTAAAGCCGCGGCTTGGGCCTAGGCCGGGCCTAAGCTGGCCGGAAGCCGTCGCTACGGCCCAGGCTTGAGTTTTGAAAAGCCTGAGCCGCCAAAAGCCGAGCCTAAGCCGCGGCTTCAGGCCGAGCCGGGGCCGTCACAACACTAAGCGGTACGACATGATTGTGATCACGCGTAGATAACGCAAGTAAGAACGCGTTCATAATTAGCTAGATTACTTAGAATATACATCTAAGATCGGGCATGTGATCAAATCACATCAATAACGAGATAACGCACTCGTATAATTAAGTAGCCGATATAGTACATTAAATTGTATATAAACTACTGTATAACTGCTATAGATGAAGCAGTTGCTATCGCATTAACGACTGCATCTAAGTCTCAAAGTAAATCAAAGGTGAGATAGCTAGCAGTAATGTAGTATCTAGTGTAGGCTGCGCCATACCTGTTCTATAGGTTATGGGCCCTGGTGGGCATCTTGCGCCTTTATGGCTGCAATACACACTCTGCGCCTTTAATGGCCGCAATAAACATTTTCTGCGCCTTCAATGGCTGCGATAAGTGTCTGCGCCTATACGGCTGCAAAAGTAGATGCTACCAGTGAACGCAACGTTCATGCGCCTTTATGGCTGCACTGCTAATGCGCCTTTAAGGCTGCATAAAAAACTACTAAGCTCACCATTGCGCCTTTATGGCCGCATCTATGGTTTCTAAGAGCCTGAGTTCTGTTTTGTGCTCTGAGTATCTTTTGTCGCATTCAATGCTGACTATGGCTTCTTTTACAGAAACCATTTACTCACGCTTCCAAAAACACTTACTCAAATCTTAACAATGTCGTCTCAACTGACAATTGCCGTTCCCGTCTTTGACGGGTCTAACTATTCCGCTTGGGCCAATGTGATGAGGGCTTTCCTTATGTCTAGTGGGCTTTGGGAGGTCACGAATGGCTCCGACCCTCGTCCTAATGCCAAGGATGAACAGAACCCCACTGAAGATGAAAAATTACTTCAGAAGGAATGGGACCGCGCTGATAACAAGGCGATCGGCACTATAATCTTGAGGCTGTCCACTGCGATCCAGCACGAACATACCTCGACTGGCTCTTCCTTCCTTATATGGATCGGTCTAAAGAGCAAGTATGGCTCAGTGGGGCCCGCTGCGATCTTTAGGGACTTCAAAGAAGCCCTAAACTTTCGCCTGGACTCTGCCAAGCACCCCTTGCCTCAGATTAACCACCTTGAGGTCGCCTTTGAGCGCCTTGAGACCAATAGTGTCACCATCCCTGATGTCTTGCAGGGCATGCTCCTGCTCCATACGCTCCCTCCCAAATGGGAGGCCCTTATCCCCACCATCCTTGTCGGAAGATCTCCTTCCAACATTAATCTAGCCGTAATCCGCGATGCCGTGCTTGCTCAGTGGGAGCAAGATCGATCCAGGGGTAAGAACCCTCATGCAGCTAAT